AGAGAGGAACTAGGAGCATTCCCTCTCCTTCCCTCTTTCCAGAATGTGCAAATATAGGGTTTGGTTTGATTTTAATTTGAATTGCACCTTGAGGCAAGGTTGAAGTGAGTTCCAGAGATATCTTGGGAAGAATGAACAAATAAACAGATCCAGAAAAATAGGTGCTAAATCCCCCTGGAAGTAAGGAACTAATTACAAATTTTAGACTCCAACTCCATGTGTTGTCTGCCTCTGTGTGTAACACTTTGTTAAAACATGCCATTGAGCTTTCACTATGGCAGACCTGAGAAAAATTGTAGGTTTATTTCACACATAAATTGCAGCTTTCTTTAGAAAATCAAATGGGTAGGGAGCAATTGCCTCAATTGTTTTTTCTATTTCATAAACTAACTCCAGGGAGACACCTATCTTTTTCTCTGGCAGTGTTACATTGACATTTGCCCAGTAGAATATATTCCATATGTTCCTATTCAAAATAATCTGAAGACTGTATCAATGTAGCTGTAGTTGTCTATACGCTGTGCAGTAAATGCACTGAAATAAATGAAAATCAAAATGCATCCACTAAACATATATAATTTCCAAACCACTGATGCCGGGTATATTTTGGATGTTACACAGCATGGGATTTACTCTAGCATTTGTTCTTACGATAGATAGGTCTTCTGCTTATGTATTCTTCAGAAATTTATGATCTGATTGAAATGCCTTGATAGATGAAATGTACACATTAAAAGTGATGTTCAGTCTATTTAGATATGTAATCATGTCCCATTAGGTCCAGCTGTCATAACTGGTGACAAATTATGAGAGTTCTTTACTGAATATCTGAAGGGCACGACAAAGAACCAAGTCACTGGCATTTCAAAGTCACCGACGCCAAGACAAAGGCAAAGGAATGATGCTTTAGACAAGAAAAGTGTTGTAATCAATGGGATTAAGAGGGAGTTAAGATGAGAACAGTCTGTAAAACTCCATTAACTTTTTTCAATTGCCGGTGGCACTTGTTACACAACAGAATTGAATATATTTTATTGCAGATCTAAAACTTAGAAGAGTTTTACCTTGTAGCATTTGTTGTCTGGTTTTAAATGCCTATCTTTCCCTGTTCATCATTAATCCTGTTGGCATAGGGAACAGGGAGCTGCAGGTCAGCCTACACAACTCCCACTTGTAATATTGCAAGCAAACAAAGCAAAAGCAAAGAAAAAGAGCTTGATTTCTTATACTTCACTTATTGTTTATGGTTCAAACTTTTTTTTTTTCCTTTTGGCAAACTGAGGAATTTGAGTATTGTGTGGGTGGTTGCTATCTACTGCCCAAAGCTCCTTTTTAAAGTACAATGGCATTTTTAACTGACAATCAATGGTTCTGTGTGCACTTGTTTTGTAAACATGAAATGCTCTATTTTCAAATAAGTGTGACTGTCCTATGTTGTTTAATGGTTATAGGATATGGAGGCAATGAACCTTCATCTTTTTCTTCAAGGAATCTACTGAGCAAGAAAAGGGTTTGCTTTTTAGCTATGCTAAGCATGCTGTAATATATGTGGTTTATTTTTGGAGTGCTTCACAATATTTTTTTCCTCCATCACTAGTTCTTGTGACACTTATGCATACCTATGTCATACCTACATATGATTGATTCAGACTCATTTTGATGCAACACACAGCAGGACTTTTACTACATAAATGGACCTGGTTCTCATTTACAGTCTGCTTTAACTAAAAAGCCACTCAGAAGGCCACCCCTTATGCTGTATCATTTTCAGTCTTACAACATTGGAATAAAATCTACATCATGAGTTATCAGTTTTCTGCAACTGTGACTTATTTCCAACCTCTTATGTCTTCCAATCATATGTGATGGTCCACTGATATAGCAATTATCCTGTGGGAGTGACACTGAATCTAAAGGGCCTAGATTTACTTACTTTGTTATTCCACCTTGCACGGCACCTAATCCTAGGCTTATGGTTAAAAATACACTGTAAAATAAAAATAAGAGTAATAAATAGTAATTTATTACTTATCTACTTATTACTTATTTATTACTTATTTGGTGCCTTATAAATTTGTAAGAGTGTAGTGTGCATTTATCATTAGGATGCAATGACATTTTCTCAATTGTCAGTTGTTTGCTTCATATTGTTGTTGTCTAAAACTTCAAATTATATCCTTTGGAAGTTCTGCCCATTGTGAAACTCACTTATGAGTAGAAGTGTATTCCATTTCTTACTGTGGTGACCAAACTGATTGATTAATCCAGGGCCTTTGCTTTGGAATTATATTTTTAATGTAATTTTTTGAAAGTGCAATTTAGGAGTCTCAGTTTTGGTACGTGGCAAAGACAGACTGAGGTGTTTTCAGCGAGTGGCTTTCCAAAGCAGCAAATGAGTTAACTAATTCTCCTCCCTCCCAGTTGCATCAGAATAAGTCTTTTTTTTTTTATTCTGTCTGTGTCTTTCACAAAGTTTGCTTGAACTATTCACAGTTTTGTGTTTCTTACTGTGATTTATTTACTGTACATTTTTATTTGTGTAATTGCATAAACAATTAATCTTTAGTTATTTAAAGTTAGTCACCCACAACTGATATAGATTATTTGCAATGTGTGTTTTTAATGCCAGTAGAACATATTGATAATGATGATTTTAATCAGTGTTGAAGACTGAATACAAGAAAGCATTTTTACTGTATATGATATATACAATATACTGTATATGACATATACAATATACTGTATACTGTATATGAGGTAAATGAAGGTTTCATAGGAAATAATCATTAAGGATTGAAAGATACCCAGTTCTACATACTAGGTTTTGGGCTAAAACAAGTATCTCATTCAACCTGAAAGCAAACTCCTCCTTGCTGGTTGTATGATTTAAATGATGTTTCTAAGTAATAAACAATCTTCTGTCTCCTAATTTAACAATTAATTTGCTTTTACCTTCACTAATTGACATGACCTAATTAACCTTACTGGGTTTCTGGGTTATTCATTACTTTTAATTGTCCTACTTTCTACATAGTGTATTAACACTATATTTTTATAGCACATCTTTAATTTTTGAATATACAAAGCTAAAATCCTTTTGGTAATTAAGCTGAAAACTGTACATATTTTTTTTTCAATATATACCTGAGTGTGTAACAAGAGCAAGTACGTCTGAAAGTAATTATTTCCATGAATATAGCTGTATAACTTGCATATGTACCACATTTTTATTTGTTTGTAACTACAATTGTCCTTGAAGTTTTGTCAAAATCATAAGAAGGTACTTTTTAATTTAATATGCCTAATAACAAGGAAGATAAGAATAATGTAATTTAGCTTTTAAAGATTAGGGCATTTCATAGATAGAAACAGTAATTCTAGTTCCACAAAATGCAAAACAGTAAGTATACATTTCTATAATAATAATTCTTCTCACCACTTGTTTTGTTCAAGAGCTTCTCTAGAAAATCAGAAATGATAGTCTTGCTTTCATATACACTATGGCATCACATTCTTAATATAGCATGACATTTTTTAAATGGTTGAATGTTGTCTATATTGTCCTATTTGCTTTAATAACCATTTCACTGTTTGACATTGTTCATCATGAAATGAGATGTAGCCAGATGCACAGAAACAAATTAATTTGCATCCACAAATGAACACTTTTGTAGGAACCAACTTTCACTTCTTCATATTGTCCAGTTATCACCTCTGCATTTCTTGAAATGTTATATTGCTTTAAAAATTTGAATAGTTTTTTTTAAAAAAATATCCCATAGGATATTTCAGAATTAATTTATGTTAAGAGTATTTTAATATGTACATTAATTTATATGCCCCATGTGAGTCAGTTTCCAAGGACTATTCCCATTTGACCTTAGTAGGGTAATTGGTGCCAACTCATCAAATCATACAGAGTTCAAAGCTATGGCATGGAATGTCAGTGAGAAGCAAATTGGTGATTTTTTTTTTCACATGCTATTCCATAAAACTTTAGCTGCCTGAACAAAGCTTTTAAGTTTGCAAAAGCAATTATCTTTATACTTTGGGAACCAAAGAATATAACTTTGAAATGGTCCTGTGCCAAACTAAATTATTTCAAACACACTTTATTCTCCAAATCCCCTCCTTCATTTCTGTAAAGATCTTATTAGTTGTAACCTGTTTAATGTACATTATGTTTCAAAAAGTGACTAGTTGTATGTTTGTGATCTATAACTTTAAAAACAAACAAACTGCATACATATAATTTGTTGAAATCACTAAATCCATTAGCACCTTTGAATTTTATTCTACAATCCTTTGTTTATTTGAAATATCTAAGAATCTTAATTTTGGGCTGCCACTCTGGAAGGAAAAAATGACTTACTCATAATGATTAATTAATGAATTAATCATTTACATCAATTTACTGAGGAATAGAGGGATTTAAAAAAAACCTATTAATTTCTTGTCTTTAAATGAAGCCTGCATGTTTCACATCAGATGTCATCTGACAACAGTTGTCTTCTTCTAAAACAGCACATGCTGTCCAGGATCTTAATTTTTCAATAAACTGTTGTAGCCTTACCAGGGGTGAAATCCAGCAGGTTCTGACAGGTTCTGGAGAACCGATAGCGGAAATTTTGAGTAGTTCGGAGAACCGACAAATACCACCTCTGGTCCCAGAGTGGGGTGGGAATGGAGTTTTTACAATATCCTTCCCCAAGGAGTGGGAGGGAATGGGGATTTTGCAGTATCCTTTCCCTGGACTGGGGTGGGAATGGAGATTTTGCAGTATCCTTCCCCTGCCATGCCCACCAAGCCACACCCACCAAGCCATGTCCACAGAACCGGTAGTAAAAAAATGTAAATTTCACCACTGAGCCTTACTGTCATTTATCTATGTCAGCCATTCAATCCTGTAGTTTAGTATTCAACATATTACAAGCATGTATCATCAAGTGCTTCAAATGCCTTTCCCATAAATATTTTTTGTCTCTAATTTGCTTTTACAGTCCTCCACAAGCAGCCCAGAGAAGTGTGCCTTTGTTTGCTTGAACTTGGAAGGATTGCAGCCAGGTAGGCAAACTTATTTAAAGAATGAGCAAGAATGTCACCCTTGGCAGCAGGAGAAATGGAGAGAATTAGTGGTTCAGTGCACTGTCAAACTAACATTTATACTAGTCTGGGTCAAGGCAAAGGTCCAACTATTAGAACATGTAGAGCATATTGGGGGCAGTTGTTCAAACAAAACAGTCAAGGTGGTGTTTTTTTTTTTTTTTAAGTGATAGAGCTTGTATGTCATTTCAAAAAGCTGGGGGGAAAAATCAACCTGAAAACAAATCTGTTATAGAGGACTGATCCCTCCATAGAGTATTTGATGTGTTCAAGTCAGAGTATTTGCTTCAATAACTGGGATCATTTTGCTTTGGGTCCTTATTGTAAACAGTAATATGGTAATCTCTCTTTGCATCATCATCGTCATTCTCTTCTCATATGGACTGTGTTTTTTTCAGTCTACTCCAGCACAAATAAAACCAAGTTGAGACAACTTTTGACTTATTTTGTGTCGAAGTAGTTAACCCATTAATGACAGGAGATGAAAAAGAAATTTTGTTACAGTGCTAACAGCAAAAAGCTAGGAAAAAGGAGCAGAAATGATGGAGAGGCAAAGTAAATGTAAATAAGTAAATAAACCCAACTTGACTTTTTAATGTTTCCAAAGTTTGAAAGAACACAGAGCAAACTTTCAAACATTGGGCCATGGATGATAACACTGTTCCAGACTGGATAGGGAAGTAATAAGAGTTCATACCATTATCTCGACAAATGCCCAACTTTTGATGTAAGAATTTTGCAGGCATGCCAGCTCCCGTGGTGGGCTGAAGTCTTGTATATGCCATGTATATGCTGAGGGGGAAAGGGGGGCACCCCCATTGCCTTTAGTACTTCAAGTGAAAATATTTGACAGAAACAACAGCAGATAATATTAACCAACAATAGAAATACAAACAGACCAAAAGATAATGCTGTGAGGAAGGCAAAAGGTATGCCTGCCAAGATAAATCATGAATGACAGTCTGCCCACCCAGGGCTAATCTCAGTCTAAATGTATAAGGTTCAGTAAAATGTAGATATGGTAAGATGGCTACATAAACCCGTTGCTTTAAAATAATTCCTTTTTACATTAAAAAACTGCTGTATTAAAGCTGCCATGCCGGACTGAGAAAATCAGGTGTGGGCAAAAATTGGGTTTTTGTTTGTGGCCATCATCTCCCTGAGGGAAATAAACTTGTGTACCCTACCCTTTTCACTAAAGGTATTTTAGGCAATTAAGGTTTTTCATATAGAGAACATGGAATTCCAAACAGAATGGAGGCATCTTATGGAATGGAATACTTCCATCATTTTGCACTTACAGGGAACTCAAAAGGGAAGGAAAAAAAATTCAGAGATGTCTCTTAGATCCCTAGAGGGACATACAATAAAGAATATTAATTCTCAGAAGGATATGAAGTGAGAAACTCCTCCCTATTACACAATTTCCTTCCAGGTCCATTAGGCTTGCAAGTTCCAGAATTTATAGTTAATTGCTATTGATTCCTGGTGATGTATGGACACATATCTTGTGTCTTGACCTTTATCTGATGACAGTCTAGAGCTCTTCCAGAGAAATATCTGTCATCCTGCCTATCAATTTTATTCTACATTGTCCCATCTTGGCAAACATAATAATTGTTTGTAATCCATCATCCATTTGCATTATGTGATCAAAGTATGTGAGCTCCTACTTGCTTCAATCAGGTAGTAAGTGTTAATTTCCTTGAGGACTGGTTGATTGGTTCTTAAACATCTATATTATTGTCTCCAAATCTCTAATTTGAAGGCGTTTGTCCACATCCTCCCATTGTGAATACTTTTCCTTAGCCTTATATTACCATTGAGAAATCTATATCTTTAACTATTGTGATCTTTGCTATCACTGAAAGTTAAGTTGTGTCTCTCTTGGGGACACCCATAGGCTCACTCTTCTCCATTTGACCTTTCCACTAAAGATAATAATAGTAATAACTTTATTGTCATTGTACATGTATACACAGTATACTCATACAACAAAATTCACTTAACACCCAAAGACCAGGTCCAACACATATAACAATCCCCAAACACACTCCCACCCACCACAATCCCTTACCCCTAAACCACCCAAACATCCACACAACAGACCAAGTATATAACTTGGTATATATAACCAAGTATATAACAAAGATTACTATATAAAGGAGTTTATCCTTCGCTGGCATTACTTTTAAATTAATACTGTTTCTAATCCAACCATATTTTTAAAAAGTAATAAATTACAAGAAAAAAAGAATTGATTGAGCAGAGTTGAATAATCAAATTTTCATATCAATTTAATCTTCATTAAAGATTGTATCAAGATATAAGCATATGTAGATGTAGTACCATTTAATATAAAGGACTGGAACAAAATAAGGGTAACAGCTAAGCTGGGGGAAAGCACTCTTAAACCATGAAATAGGATACATTGTATTATAAGATGTTGAAGTGGAAGAGAAAATGGATTTGAAATTCACTTGAAGAGCACAGGAGCTATATCTGATGACTAAGTGTATAGTCAGGGTCCAATGGGAGCAGCATAATTTACGACCTCTCAGCATCTGTGTGTCTGTACTAGATGCATTATTAAAAATCTGGGGTCTGGAATTAGAAAAAGAAAAGCCAATGAGGTAAATTTGACTTGGATCTGCACTGTATAACATTTCATTTTCATTTTTTACATTTTATTAAATTTGTATACCGCCCTACTCCCGAAGGACTCAGGGCGGTGAACAGCCATGAAATAAAACATATAAATACAAAATTTAAAATAGAAATAAAACAAGTTAAATAACAAACGGCACTGACATTTTTGTATTAGATATATCTAAATTCCCTACAAATTAGAAAAAAAACCCCATTTCCACTGTCTCATAGTGTAGCACTGTCTTTTCCAACATGTCCCTGTCTTCCTTCTTGTGCCTGCATAATGGCTAGTAATTTTGAGCCTCAATATTTCTGGAAAATCTGAAAGGGGAAAATCTTCTTAAGGCTCCTTAATCCCAGAAAGAATGGGGGCATGTCCAATAGCTTTGTATAATGAAACAAGACCAGTTATGCAATCAATGCTGCAATGTAAGTAAGTTGTGCCTTTTGACCAAGGGTACGTCTGGATGATCAGCCCTTAAAACCACAGATCTTTATTATTTCAATTTGCTTGAATGGTTCAGATTGTTCTGACCATTTCAAATCATTTGGAAATTGGAACAATCAGTAGTGACATTGGTTGGTGCAAAACAGCTTTTCTCTATTGACCAGCTAGTCAAGCTGGTATTCATTTGACTTTATATCATTTGACTTTATATTAGATCACATGCAACCAGTGATGGCATTGTGGGGTCATAGGGGAAAGGTTCATTTCTAGTGATGGAATTGTCTGGAAGAGCCCTCTAGGAAGAAGAACAATTCAGAAACTCTATGTCAGTAAATTCAGGGCTGTATAAATAAAATATGATTCTGTGCCTGAAGTCCAAAATTAAATGGTAATGTTGATATATCATGTTAAGATTGTGTTAATACCGATACAGTAGTTGCTTTTCCTCAGGCCTACTCTCAGAACTAGTACAAGCCTTGGGATTTATTTTAAGCAAGAATTTCTAATGTGATTTTTAGAAGTTTGTTTTTTCCCTACAATTTTCAGCAACTGGTGTCAATATGATGTAACTGATTTATAAGTCCAGGGTTCAATCTCTCCTTTTGAAAGGTTTGGTGTAGAGCCTTCTGGATTGATAAAGCTGGAGAAAGAGATTGAACAAGAAGAGACACTTTCGACTCCTCTTCCTTCTCCTTCCCCTTCCCCAACAAAGTCACCTGGCAAAAAGAGCACAGGAAAACTCCTGGATGATGCAGTAAGTTTGTTTGGTTATACCTCTTAGAGTCTTATTTTGTTATACTGTACCTCTTAGAGCCTTATTTATTCAACTTCAGTCTCCTCCAATCTAAAACATTTGATGGTATTATTTGGGAATTCTGATAGCTGCAGCTCTACACATATGAGGCTTACACATCTGATTCATAAGTATTTTTTTTTCCAGATTTGAATAGCATACACACACACACACACACACACACACATATAAACAGTAATTCACAGTAGTAAACTAAATAAACACATGTAAGAACTTAGTGGAAATTTAGTTCAAATGAGGGATTGATTAAAAACATGTTGATAGCAGTAAGGCACAATGAATTTTTTATAACACTGAACCATTTGTTACTAACTCCATGCTGATGGAACAGAATGGAATGGAAGCATTGCCCAATTCCAAATTACATCAGCGATGTAGAGTGAGAGCAAACAAAATACAAAATACAATGCAATAAAATTATAAAAGAAAGGGAATAAGGAATAAGAGGAAGACATATTTTCTCACAGGATGTTAAAGGGTGTTTTCTACCAAGGATCATAACAGTAAGATTCAGGGACTCTGTCATTCAAGGTATATATACAGAGTCACTTTTCAAATATCCTGAAATATAGATATTGGAGATGAAAGGCATAGTAATAGGATTCTAGTCACTATATTCATCCCAGAACCTCTTCATGTGCTTTAAAATTCATAAGAGAGCAAGGTGTCTGCTATATTGCAGTTTGGAAGCTTGCAAATGTGAGTAGATAAATAGGTACCATTTCGGTGGGAAGGCAACAGTGTTCGGTGTGCCTCAGTATATAGTAATGCTGGCCACATTACCATGGAAATGTCTTCAGACAACACTGGGTCTCTCAGTTAAGAAACAGAGATAAGCACCATCCCCTAGAGTTAAGGAGATTTTAAGATTTTGTTCATTATTTAATATTATTTGTTATCTTGTTGACATTGAATCAGGCCTTTATACCACTGGACTATCTAACCCAATATTCTGTTGCTGTCTATGTCAGTTTGCATGAGAATGCAAAGCAGGTGGTTCTGTGGAAGACTTAAAGAGAAGCAGCAGAAAAAAGGAAATGGAGTAACTTTGTTAACAAGAAGTATAAAGCAGTTCCCCCAGCTAGTGGCATTCAAATGTGATAGACTTCATTGCTCATATTGGCTGGAGACATGAAGGCTTCCAATATGAGCCCAATATAACTAGTTAGCATCTCAAGAAATGTGCTTCAATGTTCTTTTAAGAAGGTATTGAATAGGATTTTAAAGGATATGATGTCTAATAGGTGTTCAGGGATCACCTTAGAACATTTAAATGACAAGGAATACTTTTTTGGGAGGCTGAAGAGCTTTGAAAAATGGAAGGTGGAATTGGAGAAGTACAGGCAATTTATGTGGAGAGATGAAGAGAGTCTGAGGTCATGCAGAGTTTTGAATAGAATGACTAAGAGCTTATGATAGATCCATGTTTTGAATCTACCTGGCAGTGGTTTCAGGGTCTTAAGGTTTTCTCTTTTTCTTTTTCATCTCTCTAAAACACTCTTGAAATCTAGGACGTTCTTCATGCAGCTAATCTGGGTATTTATCCTAATAGAATAATACTTGCTGTTCAGTTCACAGGTCAGTCTTCTCTTATACAAGCAGAACACGATAACCCATCTTCTAGAGAACGAAGAGTTAAATGGGAAAGTAAGAATGGCACTTTTAAAAGAACCTGTTTCTATGGCAACTCCTATATCGCAGGGTAGAAGTGTAGCTAGCCACCGGGGAATTACAAAGCACTCCTTAAAAGCCCCTGTGCCACGTAAGAGCTATAATGAACAGATGGAATTTGGTGTATCATTTGTTGAAATGCAAACTTTCTTAGGGTCAGCACTTTCCCCCCCCCTTCCTGTGTCTTTAACTTTTCAAACTCTCTTACTATGGCTGTCAGAGAAAAATAGAGGCAAAGTTCATGCATAACAATGAAAAGCCATTATTCTCGCAAGAGAGGAAAAAAGCAGGAGAAAAACAGGAATATAAGGTAGCGTTTCCCAATTTACTGCCTGCTAAGAAGTTGCATTGTAAGTCCCATCGTTCTTGCAAGCATGGTCCTGCTGCCTCCAGCAGGACCATGGTTAACATCACCATGGTTGCTATTATTTTAGGAAATTCCTTTATGTTATTTTAACACTGTTGGGAGACAAAAATGACCATATCAAACCAATATTTGCTCCTAGAAGCACGAAGCCGAAAACACTAGCCTGAAGATGACGAATGAGACTTTGTCGAAACATCGCCAAGACACTTCCAATTTTACGCGGGAGAAAACCCAAATAACCAAAGACCTACACACACACACACACACACACACACACACATATACACACACACAATGTATTATATATCAAGAATAAATCTTATCTATGTGTTGTTACTATACTACTGTGTTTCCCTGAAAATAAGACCCTGTCTTACGTTTTTTTGAACCCTGAAATAAGCACTTTGCCTTACTGCCATGCTCTCAAAAGCCCAATTGGGCTTATTATCAGGGGATGTCTTATTTTGGGGAAAACAGGGTAGGAATGCCACTTGTAAAACAGCAACGGAATAAAGGAGAAACATTGCCGTGTTTGTTAGGTCATGGAATCATGGAAAGAAGTCAATTTAAAGAAAAGAAGACTTTTCTTTATTCTCAAAGCAAATACACCTAGAAAAATGATGCCTAATGCCAACAGTTTTCTTTTACAGATGAACTTGTTTGAAAATGTATGTGGACTTCATATTAGGTTTTTTTTCCAGCTTTTTTTTTTTCATTTTTTTTCATCTCATCTCAGAGATGAGATTTTGAAAATAAATTGAAGCAACATTAGCTTTAATGTTACGAAACGGCATCAGATTTATGTGCCTCACTTCCAGAAAATCCTGCAAAATGGCACACCTTTGCTCCCATATACACTCACATTTTGGAGCCCCCTATGTGGACGTATTCATCATGTTATAAAATTATATAACTGCTTGGCTAAAAGAAAATAAAGAAACCTGCTGAAATGTACAAGATTCTAGCAATTACGAAGAATCCAAGATGATCAATCCCCTCCCTGCGATAGCAGCAAGACTCCAGTTGAGTTAAGCTTAGGGCAAGTTTAGTTAAAGTGAAGTCATTGTTTATACTAGACACATTTTCTGGCTTGTTAAAATGGAACGAATAAAATATGCGATAGAACATTTGTTTTGGTGACCTGCTTATGTGGTTGATTGTTTGATTGGCTGCAATTGAGAACAGATCACTGGATTAGCTCACCTTTAGTCTGATCCAATAAAGCTGTTTTTATTCTTATTATTTGAGAAATACATTTGTTTTTTTAAAAAAAATGCAAGAAAGTTTAAAATACTATCTTTCCTTAATAGATTTTTTTTAGCAACATTTTTTATCTTGTTCTCCATCTTCCTTTACACATTGTTGGGTTATGAACTAGATTTACAAAGGTCTCTAGAGTATTAAGCTGAAGTGGATGAAATGTTTTCATCTTCAACAATCTTGAAGATGAACAATCTTCATTGTTTTATTTGACATGAACACATTGGGTCAATTTTCATCACGGAACACTATGTTATGTAGACATTATTCATCCACATGCCGATCCACAGTAGTACTTGAATATCAGATTAGAATTTAGTCAACTAAAACTTTTTGTTTGCTATGAAGTTTCTGTTCTTTCAGTTCATAGGAAGTTCTAGTTATACTAAACATTAGCACAGCTCAATAGTGTTTTACCTACTTCTGGTTTCTAAAATAGTAGACCCCAACTTATTGTGAATTTAATGCAATTATATGGGTGGGTCATCAGGGGGAAGAATATGCAACACAAAATACTTAAACAGTATGGAAAGCTACCATTGAACAGCAGTGGTGAAATCTGAACTGGTTTGCTACTAGTTCGCTGGCTGCGCATGCACACTGCATGCTGTGCACATGCATGCACATTAAACAATGCGTGCGCATGTGCAGTGTGCACCAAATGTGCACTGCGCATTTAAAAAGTTACCGGTTCAGCTATCAGTTGAACCGGTAGTTTAAAAAAACTACAATCCAACGATCAGCTGTGCCACACGGTTTAGCTTTGCTAGAAAGCAGGAAATCCTGCTTTCTAGCAAAGCTAAAGTGCATGGCACAGCTGATCATCGGATCGTAGCTTTTTTAAACTACCAGTTTGACCAAACCGGTAGCTAACTACCGGTTCACCTGAACCAGTAGCTTTTTTTTTTTACTACCGGTTTGCCTGGTAGTACCTAAAGCTTAGATATAAAATTAAGTATGTGAAAGATTATGTGTTCATTCTGTATTTAGCAATAGCATTTAGACTTATATACCGCTTCACAGTGCTTTTACAGCCCTCTCTAAGAAGTTTACAGAGTCAGCATATTGCCCCCAACAATCTGGTTCCTCATTTTACCCACCTCGGAAGGATGGAAGGCTGAGTCAACCTTGAGCCTGGTGAGATTCGAACTGCCAAACTGCAGACAGCCAGCAGTCAGCAGAAGTAGCCTGCAGTACTGCATTCTAACCAGTGCGCCATGGTGGCTCTTTAAATTTAAATATCAAAACTGAGTTACTGTACTTTAATACATTACCACCTCCATATACAGCTCTGATTCTCATGGATGTCTAACACGATAATGGTGTATATATATAAAACAAAGCTGGGAAAATTCTATTCTTGGAGCCACATGCAGACCTTGGATATAAAGGCACTCTAGAAGACTTTGCTATGCTTCCCATCACCAGATGATCAACATGATTACAAAAGAAACAGCTGAATGAAATCATTAGTTGAATTATTTCTTCCTGAAATTAATGGCAGAAAGCCCAGCAGCCTCATGTCTGCTATCCAGTTGGGTCATCTGAGGGTGAAAATATACAATGTTCAGGAAAGTGTTGAATTACTTATGAGTATATATCAGTGTATGTGTTTCAGTGTGTGTAAAGTTGGAATTGTACAAATGCATGTTTCCCATGTGTATATAAGTATACTCCAACCCTTGAGGCTGAACATGTTACATTTTGAATTTCAATTAGTGGCAACTTAGTTTTAACCATTTAAATTAAATATATAAAACCAGAGACATCCACAGAGTAGAACCCCAGTAGAAATTTAGGTCTTTCTCAAAATAATGAGCAAGAAGATCTTTCTCTCTATGTATGTAGCTAGTGTGGTTTAGCACACTTCAAAATAATTCCAGAAGCAATATTTAATCAGTTCTGTGAACACCTCCTACTGAAAAAACTTGAATTAACTAATTGCATTAACAAAAATCTGCATTCCTGAACAAATGACCAGACCTCAAGGATACTGTTTATTATAAATATTAATAATACAAAATGTAATGGCACATAATGTTTTGGATTGAGAGGCAGAGATGTAAATAATTTTTCATATATTATTAGCAACAAAGTTAGGGCAGTTAAAGTTCAGGGTTTGAGAAATCTGCAGGGAAGCTATTGAAAGGATGCAACAAGTTAGTATTCCTCACTTTTGAATACCACTTGGCCTCTTGTTCTAGATGAAAATTATGGAGGAAGTCAAGATGTTAAGGAAGTAACAGGACATGATGTAATCAGATTATAAAATGGTAGATGAGACAGTTCTAATTCACTTCCCATTTAATAGCTCTCTTAGCTCTTTCCAGAAGGCCACTGTAGGGAGGAATACAGCAGACTAAAATAAGAGAAAGAGACTTAATTCTTAACCTTCCTTGTAATAGGAACAAGGCAGAGTAATGTTATATGAACTATCTGTATCCAAAGAAGAGGTCCTGTAACTCAGTGGGTATGTCTATTGAAATCCCTGTGTTGGAAAATGTAGGAATGTGAAGACTATAAATACAGAAGGATGTACAATTTAGAAAAGTCTGGAAATCAGTCCATCTCTGACAGAGGAGTCTGGATATAATCTGAGATAATAGAAGAATAATGCAGAAGATACATTGAAATTATAACTTTGTTTTCAGGTCAAACATATTTCTGAAGACCCTCCTTGTAAATGCCCTAGTAAATTTTGTGTGGAGCGCCTTTCTCAGGGAAGGTACAGAGTTGGAGAGAAGATCCTTTTCATCAGGGTAAGAAAAAAAAACTACTATTCCTTTTGTGAAATGAAATATGGTAAGTAAGCAAATGAGTGAGAGAAATGATCATGAGAGAACTGTTTTGTGTCCTGTGCTATCATAAAGAGCTATGCAGGAGCATATAAAACAAGTCAATGTTGAAGGGGCTATGAGCAGGATGTAATCTCAGAAGTCTTACCTAGTCTTCTGAATACTTGAACACTCCCTCCCAGCCAAAAATTGTTCTCTCCATCCTGTTCACTGAATTCTTCTTTCTCCCTTTCTCCTCATTCTTTCTTTCTCTCCCCATCCTTCAATCAGCTGTAGTCCTCCTGCTGCAGTTCTTGTTTTGTTTATAAAAGCATTTGTGCTACTGAATTTGGGGGACCTTTAGGGCCAGCCTTCTAACCTGTACTATTTATATGAAAACCAGTCTGAAATAAAGCTCTAGTTCAGATTATATTCTCAATATGATTGCTGTGATTATCAAGATCTGCACACTTCTAGCCATGTTTGTTTTTAGAACATTGTTTTCACATCAAAAATTCCAGCATCAGCCAACAGCAAAGCGCTTATGTATTGTTGACAAGAAAGTGACATATGTGAAATCACCAAACATTGAGCTCAGTGTAGGGGAACATTTATTTTACTTATTCGTCCATTCATTCCTAATCCATTGCTGCAAGATATCCACTTCTAGATCATACTACGCTTGTGCCAGACGTGGGTTTCAGCAGGTTCTGACCAGTTCTGGAGAACCAGTGGTGGAAATTTTGAGTAGTTCAGAGAACTAGTAAATACCACCTCTGACTGGCCCCGCCCCCATCTATTCTCTGCCTCCTGATCTGCTCCTTCCCTGATCAGGAGGAAATGGAGATTTTGCAGTTTCCTTCCCCTGGAGTGGGGTGGGATGGAGATTTTACAGCAACCTTCCCCTGCCATGCCTACCAAGCCATGCCATGCCCACCAACCCACACCCACAGAACCAGTAGTAAAAAATTCTGAAACCCACAACTGGCTTGTGCGTGAAGGTAAAAATGAATTTGAGCTCAATGCCTGGTAACTACAGGAATACAACTTTCTTGGTGCTAGCTCGAAAATGATTTGACGTTACATTCTTCTGCTTCCCTTCCTGCCTTTTTGAGTTTTCAGTGCACCTTACAGGCTTGTAGTCTTCTAAATGTTATTTATCCTGCTTCTGAACGTGGACAAGTTGTTCAGCTGCTTCCTACTATAATACAGTCATGAGTATTTTCCATTTTTCACCTCATGGAAAATAAAAAATACTATTCTCTCATCTTGAAAAATCTGTGGAAGATTTATTTATTTTTAATAGAATTATTATATTAATTAAATAAATAAGCAAATTAAATTTATTTATTTAAGTTATTAATTACTGGATGTAGCATCTTATAGTAAGATAGAGATAGGTCAATAAGTGAGAAATCAATTAAATAATCCCAAGAGTGAAATTATGGTAAAGGAAAACCGAATACAAAGAATGAAAACATGGCTGGTTTAAACATGAATTTTAATGGTTGTTGTAGTTTTTTAATAATATAGGGGCCAAATTATTTAATATGTTTTCAAACTGTTTTTAAATTTTATGGATATGTGTGTTTTATTGTGGCTGTGCACCGCCCTGAGTCCCTCAGGGCAGTGCACAGGGCGGTATAAAAATTTAATTAATTAATTAATTAATTAATTAATTAATTAATTAATTAATTAATTAATGAAAATGAATAAAGGCAAAACCATATACTATATTTAGGGTCCCATTTCAAAGTATTTTAGATACGATGGCTGAGAACTGTATACAAGGCAATTTTTTAACGTAATATCTTCAGTTGTTCTATTTTCCTTGTTTATTTGCGCTTTTATCTGTGTGCATGAATATATTTTAAGCATGTACAAGATACATGGCTATGTATTTTGTCTGTTCTGACAGCCAAAGGAAAAATAATAGATTACTATTCAAGTTTCATACTTTTGTAGTGTTTCTGTGGATTAATGATTTTATGTTCAAACATGCCTCAGACTTGTTTCAGTAATAAACGTTGTAAGGAATGTAATTCATCTACTCTAGCAAATCCCAGGCTCAGATGGTAAAATTCTCTTTTGATTTCAATTTGTATGGATTTGTTGCTCTTTCACCACCATGGTCTTCAGAACAATTTAGAGCAAAACAAGAAAGTGATATAAAATAGACCAAAGATCAAACTAAAGCACTAACAACATATGACAAATGGAAACAATGAAGCTTATTAATAATAGCAGTAACAAACTATTAAGTTATTAAGAGACCTGTTCTGAGATTAAGAAGAGGTCATAGCTAATTCATAGAGCGAATATTATAGAGGCAAAAAGGTCTCAGGTTTTATTTCAGGTAGGACAGTAGAAGAAATCCAGAAATGTATTTACCAATAGTCCTTTCAGGCCACATCTTCATATCTGGGGGAAAAAAATGAGGATTTTGTCCTATTTGCTAAACATCCTGTTGGTGAGATTTATGAAGAGCTAGTCTACATAACCCACAATATTGATGTCTCTATTAGGATGAAGTTCTGAGGCATATATAAACTTCTACATGACTTCGACCCTGATAGTCCAAGATTTTAGCTCATCTGAAAGGATCAGATGATGAAGCTACTTCAACGACAGATAGTTATTCTGTTTCTAAAGGCTCATGGAGATCAACATTGCAAATGAGTATACTAGCTGCTTAATGTTTCTAGAGAGGCTTTTGGAGTGTTAAGATCTACGTAACCCTTAACCCTAAACCTAGTTCATTTTCAATGGTAATGGAATTTTCCCTGTGGATCACAAACAACTCCAGAAGAAAAGCTGTCACTGGTGCTTTCCTAAGAAAAGCACTATGAATCTATCCCTAGAATTAGATTTCAGCAATGACTCCAAGTAGACTAATCCTAACCCTAACCCTAGTTTTCATATTCAATGCCAATGGGATATTCCCATGTATTTTAATACGGACCACAAACAGCTCTGAACGAAAGGCTATCATTGTCACTTCCCTTAGAAAATGTCTCAGAAACTATCCCTAGCATTACTTTTCAGCCATGTGTCCAAGCAGATGTAACCCTAACCCTAATCCTAGTTCATTTTCAATGAAAATAGCATTTTCCCATGTATTTTACTGTGGACCAAAAACAACTCCGAGAGAAAAGCTGTCACTGACAATTTCCTTAGAAAACCGCTAAAATCCTATCACTAGCATTAGATTTCAGGCAAGACTTCAAGCAGACATTACCCTAATCCTAACCCTATTCCTAACCCTAACCTTATTTTCATTTTCAATGCCAATGGGTTTTTCACATATATTTTACTGTGGATCTTTTTTTTTTAATTTACCATATTTACTTGATTTACAGATTTGCTCTCTGTCTGCCTTTTGCCAAGCAAATAATATTACTCAAAGCGGAAAATGGCCTTTCTTTTTTAAGCTATTTGTTTACAGCCAATTGTAGAAGAGCAAATTAGAGATAGACATTACTGATTAGCAATTTTTTTTCCAATTAAGGTAAACAGATAACATATATATTAGTTGTCAGATAGATACCAAAAGTTGGTTTTTAAATCTTTGATTCCAGAAAGATTTCCTAGGGTAAAAAAATAATAATAATGAGCAGATAAAAAGCAACAAATAAACTAGAGAATTTCTTCATGCTTTACACATACACCCCTTATGTGTGTTCATACATACACACAAACTGTATAAAGAGTTCCTCTTTGTCTCCTGTGTTATAACCAAAACGCGTTGGATTCTGACCAGCTACTTTTCATCAATCTTGCTAAGAACATCGTTAAAAATTTAGAATGTAGTTTGGAGTGTGGTGTGGCTGTTCTTGGGCAATTGTTGATCAGGCGAGTTCATGTCCTGACTTGGTGCTTTTATCCATCAGTTATTCTTTGATCTTCTCCTAGGCTTTGGCAGCATACCCTTGCATGCTATTGTCTCTTCATGCACCTGTGCATTCAGATAAACTCTTTTATGAGGCTGAGCATTCATCATCTAGTTCATTAAACTCAATATCCATCATGATCACCAGAAAAGGTTATTTCCTGGGCAACCTCTTCCTGAAAAGAGGTTCCATTGTCTTCAAATGGAGATTCTCTCAAGTTCAGCAAACCTTTCGGTTTCTGTGTATCCAAAGAACCCTCCAATCAAGCTGTACTTTGCTTTTCTTAGCAGATGAGAACTAGGTTAAGCTTCTAATAAACTTAATAATCACTCAGGTGAAGGGACTTGTTGCTTTTGGCATTCTGAAAGCGCTTTTTGGTGCAAATTGACAGGTCTGCATTACTGAGAAGGGATAATGTAAATCTGTGTTGAAGCTGTATAATTCTCTGAATTCTTTACGTAGCCACACTAATCTCTATAATACAGAAACTAGGTACAGTAAATGGGTTTCATATATGGGAGTTGTCTGTGTATTTGTCATCAGCTTTATGAGTTCTGCTTTTCATTCTTTCAAAGTAATCTGACATCTCAGAATTAAATAGTGTGGCTTTCTGAAAATGAAGAGACAGAAACAAGCTTCATCCATCCAATTTCTTTATTCCACTTTGCAACTGAAGGTGGTTGAAAATGATCAACCTTGATGTAACTTTTTATAAATTATGGCACTGAATTTGTAACTCTATGTATACTGAACACATGATTTGGATCTTCAACTAGAAGATTTTTAGAAGGATACAACCTGGGCAAAGATGCCCATGGCTGGATATCTTATTTTTTTTATTATTATTTAATTCAACTTATATACCACCTTTCTCCCCAGGGGGACATAGGCGGTGGACAGCCAAACTTAAAACACATATAGTACAAAAGTTAAGAAAAAACCAAAATAAATTAAATCATCGACATTTCCAAATTAAAATCCCAAATCTGCAAAATCAAAAAGTTCCCAATTTAAAACCCAGAATCAATAAAATTGAAAATTTAAAAACCCCATTAAAACCATTTAAGCTAGGCCAGCTTGTTGGAATAAATAAGT